TTGCTTCCAAGAGACGGGGCTGTACCCTGTTTTCAGGGAGAGGTTGAAAAGTGCCTTGAGGTATTCAATTAATAACTGAGTTCCGTTTTTCAGTAGTATCGCTTGTATGTTTTCTGCTCCTGGAGCCTTGTTTTTAGTGTGCTTTATAGCTATGGAGATTTGTGTCGTTGTTATTTCACCTGTCGTCCAGGGTGTTAGTTGTTGCTTCTTTGGTTGTTTGTGTTGGGAGTGAAGCCGAAAAGATTGGTGGAAAAATATCTTTGTTTCATTTTATTTTGTTATCTACTTACTTACGGTAGTGATCATTCATGTCTGAGTCATTTTGTGTTTGAAAAATCTTTTGTAAGTGTTCTTTAAATAGTTCGGTTTTTTGCGTGTTAGTATGTGCTGTTTTGTTACCTTGAACTAGTGTTGGGTAGGATTTGGATGGTTTCTTGTTTTATGTCTATCTCTTTAAATGATTCCAGAATTTACGTGTTTCTGTGTTTAGGGTATTGCAATAAGTGTCCCAGTTTTCTTGTTTTAGTAGTTTAATCTCATTTCTGATTTCATTACGAAGAGCATTTATTTGTGGTTTAAGTATCTCTCGTGTTGATATAAATATAGCGCAATCTGCATCTTTATTTAATCATGTCTATTATGTTCTTATGCGGTTTCCATATGTGTATTGCTGTATCATTTGGTTGTTTTGGTATAGTTGTTTCTGCTGCTTTGATTATACATTCAGTTATTACTTGACAGTATTAATCTGTGTCTTGCGAGCGCGAGGCACTTGTTATGGTTGAATTTGGTAGGAATTCATCCAATTTGGTTTTATATTGTTGCCAATCTGCTTTATTATAATTAAGCTTTTGCTGAGGTATTGATTTGTTATGGTGGGGGTGAGATCGAAATTACACCATATAGGAAAATGTTCCACTGTCTATATCTTGCTCTACGTGAAATTCTGAGCATTTTAGACTTAGATCTGTCGAAGTTATACATAAAGCGAGTATTTCTCCAGAATTTGTAGCTGTACACCAGTGAGTTGGTGTTTGGTCGTTTAAAAGTACAAAGTTTGAATTATTTAAGAATCGTAGTAATCGGAATCCATTTGTTGTTGTCCATCTACATTCAAAATTGAACTGTGATCCCCTATCACAATGTAGTTTTTGTTGTAATTTATTATGTTATCTAACAATTTTGTATCCAGGTTTCTATTGGGTGAACAGTAGATTCCTGCGACTGTAATTTTGAGGTTGTTTGTAACTATTATAACAACGACTATACACTCATAATGGTTGGAGACGGCTTGAATGGGTAATGAAGAAAAATTTTAATATAAGTTTAACATAACAGCAAATGTACAACGTTTCGACAAGGTTTTGTCATCATCAGGTACAACCATTATTAGTCTCAAAGTGGGTTCCTCGTCATCGAATTTGACTATACACTCATTTGTGGTTTCAAAATTTAAGCTGGCAATTGCTAATGTTGATTTATAGCCTAGAGCTATACCGAGATTTGGGTCTCTTTTATGTTTTCTATCTGGTCTTTAAAGACTTTATGTTTGTGATAAGGGTCTCAGTTATGCATATTATATCAGCATCTACCAATCTAATTTGTTCTTCGATCTCGTATCTCTTGAAAGCAAGACCACCTTAGATATTAACATGGAAGACGGTGAATTTATGTGTTGGTGTTGGCCATGAATATCTATAATATTTGCAGAAGTATTGGTATTATGTGTTTTGTTGCTAATGTAATGAATATGACTAAGTAGCTTGTGCCATTGTTTGATTTTGTATTTCAGACTATTATCATGTTTATAATAGCTGAAATAATAGGTGTGGATTCTTGTTTATTTGTGGTGG